GTCTGTCACTTTTATGACAGATGCACTGAATATTCTAGGTGTATATGAGACTGGCTTTGTTCCTATATTTATTTTTATATAGGTTCTGCATCTGCTTTTTCAGCCTCTCCAGACTATTTTTGATTAGCTATTTCTTCCAGTATTTTGAGTTCCTGATGACCAGGAAAGAATAATTTAGGAATTTCTGCAGTTTTCAAGGACAAGGGGAGCAACTACTTATAACACTCAGTGCCAAATTTTAAGATGCCCTATGGAAATGAAGTGAATGTTATATGTCTCTTTTGGGATGATATTACTCTTCCAGAGTGAGAAACTTGCCAACAGAGAAATAGACCTTTATGCGGATAGTTGGGTCAAATAGCAATGTCATGAGTTTGGCCATGAACCTCTTTGCTTAAATTCAAAGGAAAGGTGTGATAATGGTAAATGCTCTGATACCTCTGGGAGGTCTGAAGGTAGCAGTGCAGGGTGGCAGGCAGGAGCCGGTCTGAATGGGGCTGTTTTTTAAACCGGCTCCTGCCTGCCACCCCATGCTGCTTCCTTTGATGGAGGCAGCAGCACGGTGTGGGGTGTCAGGTGCCTCTATGGAGCTGGACTTCGGGGGGTGCTTTGAAGTGAGCTTCCCCCAGCACTGGCTTCTGCCTGCCCACCCCAGCTCTCTTGATCATGAGCTTAACTGTTCTGCTCCTAAAAGACATGAATTGTTTAAGAAAATGTTATTGGATTCCCAAAAAGATGCAATCAAGGAAGTAGGCTATATTGTTCAAAAAACCAGTCTGATTAGAGAGGAAGTGAAGGAAACTATAACATTGTTTTAAAAAGAAGAAAGGGAAAGTTGGTAGTAATAATAAATATAAATTAAAAGCTAGGAATTGTAGAAAACTGCTTAGGGAAGCAGAGTTAAGGACCATAAGATGTAGTTTAAGTATATTAGGAACCAAACAAATCCTAACAATGGTTTTGTTTCATTACTAGATAGGGATGTGAAATGTTAACCAGTAAGCATCACCCTTAATGGATGATGCTTACCAGTTCCAGTTCACCAGTGGGGTCTAGAGCATCTCCCCCTGTCATGGGTAGGGGGCCCATCACAGATAGGGGCTGCTTTGGCCAGGCTTTAGCAGCCCCTGTCTGCTGCTGGGGAAGGAGGGAGCAGCTCCAGTTAAACATTTCATTTAACTGGTTAACCAATTAAACAGGATTTTACATCCCTATGAGTAGATGGAAATGGAAAAATTGTCATAAATAATGTTTTAAAAGTTTTGTTCTTTATTTGAGGAAAAAAGTGTGATATAGTCATATCATGTAGTAACACTTTGTTCATTCCACTAGTATCTCAGGATGTTAAACAGTAGCTGCTAAAGTTGGACTTTTTTTTTTAAAGCAGTAGATGTAAATAACTTGCATCTGAGAATTATAGAAGAGCAGGCTGAGGAGCTTGCTGCACTGTTAATGTTGGCTTTTCTAGAAATCTTGAAACACTGTGGAAGCTTCCAGAAGACAGGATGAAACCTAATGTTGTGCCAATATTTAAAAAAGGTAAATGGGATGACCTGAGCAATTATAGGTTTGTCAGTATGACACTGATCTCAGACAAAATAATGGAGTGGCTGATGCAAGACTTGATTAATAAAGAATTAAAAGAAGATAATATAATTAATCCCAATCCCAGTATGAAATTAACTTATCTTTTTATGAGATTGCAAGGTTGATTGATAAAAATGATAGTATTGATGTTATATACTTAGATTTCTTTGAGGCATTTAAGTTGGTTCCTGCATGACGTTTTGATTAAAAAGCTGGAATGATGTAAAATTAATCTGGCATGGCCTGGGTTTAATAAGCACGTTTAGATATGCAACATGTCAGAATCTATTTATGTTTTTAAAGGAGATTTTCTGATTACAAAAAGATTGTACAAATTCGTCTTCCCCCTCTGTGCATCAACTGTTTCAGTGTTCTCTTCTTGAATTCTATCACCGGTTTAACTTCTTCGCCTTCAGAACCTTGTGCTATTATGGCCTTGCCTCTTTCTCTTAATTGCAGGTTTCATCTCCTCCTTCACTATTACTATTAGGGATGTTAGAAATCATGTATTTTAGTAATTGTGTAGCCACTGTGCTCCTGGTCCCACTCCTGGGGAGCCCCCTGTCACCCTGCGCTGCTGCCTCTGTTTCCATGAAGGGAGCCTGTTTAAAAATTGGCTCCCTGTACAGACTGTATCCCTGTGCAGAGGAATGCAGGAGGCCCCACTCAGTCGACACACATGGAGAGCTGGCTTAAAAGCCGATTGCCTGCATGTATCGGCTTCCACCTTTCCCCCTGCTAAAAAGACAATAGCACGGGGGAGGAGGCTCTGCAGGAACTGAGATGTGTGGGGAGCAGACGTCCAGCGTCTGCTGACTCCCACCTCCTCATAGACTCATAGACTTTAAGGTCAGAAGGGACCATTATGATCATCTAGTCTGACCCCCTGCACAGTGCAGGCCACAAAATCTCACCCACCCCTCCTAGAATAATCCTCTCACCTATATCTCAGATATTGAAGCCTTCAAATACTTTGAAGACCCCCAAGATGCAGAGAATCCTCTAGCTGTGATCTGTACCCCATGCTACAGAGGAAGGCGAAAAACCTCCAGGGCCTCTGCCAATCTACCCTGGAGGAAAATTCCTTCCCGACCCCAAATATGGCGATCAGCTAACCCCTGAGCATGTGGGCAAGACTCATCAGCCAGACACCCAGAAAGTTCTCTATAGTAACTCCTATCATCCCTCCATTGACCTATTTTCCACTGATAATGAATGGTCAATTAGTTACCAAGATCATGTTATCTCATCAAACCATCCCCTTCATAAACCCATCTAGTTTAATCTTGAAACCAGATAGATCTTTTGCCCCCACTACTTCCCTTGGAAGGCCGTTCCAGAACCTCACTCCTCTAATGGTTAGAAACCTTCGTCTAATCTCAAGTCTAAACTTCCTACTAGCCAGCTTATATCCATTTGTTCTTGTGTCCACATTGGTATTAAACTTAAATAATTCCTCTCCCTCCCTGGTATTTATCCCTCTAATATATTTAAAAAGTGCAATCATGTCCCCCCTCAGCCTTCTTTTGGTTAAAGTAAACAAGCCAAGCTCCTTGAGTCTCCTTTCATAAGACAGGTTTTCCATTCCTCGGATCATCCTAGTGGCCCTTCTTTGTACCTGTTCCAGTTTGAATTCATCCTTCTTAAACATGGGAGACCAGAACTGCACACAGTATTCCAAATGGGGTCTCACCAATGCCTTGTATAATGGCACTAACACCTCCTTATCCCTACTGGAAATACCTCGCCTAATACATCCCAAGATCGTATTAGCCTTTTTCACGGCCATGTCACAATGGCGGCTCATAGTCATTCTATAATCAACCAGGACTCCGTGGTCCTTCTCCTCCTCCGTTACTTCCAATTGATGTGTCCCCAGCTTATAACTAAAATTCTTGTTATTAATCCCTAAATGCATAACCTTACACTTCTCACTATTAAATTTCATCCTATTGCTATCACTCCAATTTACAAGATCATCCAGATCTTCCTGTATGATATCCCGATCCTTTTCTGAATTGGCAATAGCTCCCAACTTTGTGTCATCCGCAAATTTTATTAGGACACTTCCACTTTTGGTGCCAAGATCAGCAATAAAAAGATTAAATAAAATTGGCCCCAAAACTGATCCCTGAGGAACTCCGCTAGTAACCTTCCTCCAACCTGACAGTTCACCTTTCAGTATGACCCGCTGTAGTCTCCCCTTTAACCAGTTGCTTATCCACCTCTCAACTTTCATAACTTTCACCTCTCCTCATTCTATGCAGACAGCTCCACAGAATCCAGTGCTCATGGGGAGCTGGCTTTTAAGCCAGTCCCCTCCGATTGCTGGCTCCCACCTACCCTTCACTATGCAGACTCTGTGGGAGGCAGCAGGGGAAGGGAGGAGAGACAGTTCCATGATAACGGGCACACATGTGGAGCTTTCTTTAAGCCCGTTTCTCACAGGCACCAGCTCCTTCCTGCCCCACTTGCTGCCTCTGTTACAGAGACAGCAAGGGGTGTGTGTGTTGTGTATAGTTATTTTGATAAATTGGTAAGCCTATGGTTATTGGTGAATTATTTACATGATGATGATACACTAACATCTCTAATTACTAGAGGTTGAACCTCTCTCATCTGGGACTTCCTATTTCGGCAACATCCATGGTCCAGCTGGACCTCAGATGTTGCTGGACCAAAGAGCCCCAGCTACAGAGGTTGAGAGTGTCTGGGAGCAGAGCCAGTCTGGTCCACGGCAGCCTACAGGGGCAATGACTGGGGGGCAGAAAGACCTGGGAGCGGCTGCTTTTGCCACCACTGGCCTGGGGCTGGGGTGTCGCAGGAGCAGCTGCTGCCACAGCCGCAGGGCCAGGGCTAGGGAGAGGGAATACTGGGAGCTGCTGATGCCACATGGGGCCAGGGAATCCTGGGAGAAGCTGCCACTGTCCCACGTGGGGCTGGGGGAAGGTAGCAGAGCCCAGCAAACAGTCTGGGAACAGCAGAGTCAGGCAGGTGGGCTGGAGGAGGTCAAGCCTTTCGGTTCTCCTGGAGCAGCAGCCAGGAGAGGAGCCCTTGGGAGAGCCCAGATGTCTGACCACCTCTGGTCCAGCAAATTCCCTTGTTTGGGGCCATTCTAGTCCCGAGGGTCCTGGACTAGGGAGGTTCAACTGTACTTACACTTCCAACAGACTCCCTGGCTGCCAAATGCTCTCCATTCTATTCTTCTGAAATAGGCTTTCATAGAATTTTTCAGCATCAATTTCATGATCAATGTTGTCCTTTTATTGTCTCTGTATTGTACCTCAACTTTGGAGTAGACCAAAAGGAAATATCTTACTCATTTGTAAAGAAGAGTATGATCTTAAAGTACACCATAAATATTCATTAACAATGGCTAAGAGGATTCTCTCTTCTTCAATTATTCCCTTTAGCTGGCCTATGGACAGTGTTCACATTGGGTGGAGTAGGAAGTAAACCAGTACCACAGGAGGAACAGTCATCACCTTTAGCTAATCAGAGCCTTCTGCTTCTGCTTGTGCTGGCTAATTTGACTGATGCTCCAGACACTCCAAACCCATACAGACAAGCTATTATGTCTTTCAAGAACACACAAGGTTTGTACCTTTTCTTAATCTTCTAGTGTGAATTGAAGTAAACTGAGGCATTGTGTTATCCTGGCTGCTTAACCCTTGCTTATACCAAGGTATGCTATAATACACGTTCTGTCCTGTAAAACTAGTCCTGTGACGTTCCTGAGGTGGCATGTCTCAGCCCATGAAACTTAAGACAGTGTGGCAGGGAGGATTTAAACACTGAAAGGCACTGTGCAATTCACTTTTGTAAAACTGAGTTTCTATAGCTTGCTTTCTTGCAAAGCTTTTGAGATGGAAATAACCATGGGAAGCCGTGGGGGTGGTGAGGGAGCAGGGGGCGGGTCAGGTAGTCTGAAGGATTCTGTTGGTGTTGGGAACATTAGGGCATAGGGAGACCTGGGCAGTGCTGGCCATAGTTCATTGCTTTGCTTCGTATGCATAGAAGTGAACTGCATTGATGCATCAAGTTTTATGCCCCCTGAAACCTGAAGAATCAAAGGGGCTGAGCATTAAACAAGTATGCTTATTTAAACAGGAAGCTAATCAGCTCAGCAGGGTATGGAGCTGCTTTCATTATCCAGAAAAGCTCTTAATCCTCACAGGTCCTTGAGCTACCTGCCCTCATTTCCTACTGTTTTTCTTGGTATTGCTATTTTAAATGATGTGCTGACTACTGTACTTGTAGTGTATGTAAAGCATTTAGAGTCATTTTAAGTGTTGGGAAACATTGTATAGTATCTTCATTGAACAGAACAAATAATTTTGCTCCTACCAAGGATAACCATATAATTTTTCAGATTAAATTTATTCCTGTGGAAAAACTGGGAGGCAGGAAAACAGATGGGCATGACAACAAGAATTATAATGCAAGACTGGTTGCAGCTATTATAGGTGCTGAATATATTATGATAATTGTTATGAAAATATCCTGTCTAATTTATTGGGGAGTAAACCAGTAGTATTCTAAAGAAATTATTCTGAAACCTGTATAGATTAAGAATAACTACATTTTTTTCCATAGAATTTTTAAATACAGAGTATGTCCCAGCTACTGAAGTCCATATAATAAGTTTAGAAAGATGCTTTGTATTTAGTAAATTCTTTAGGACTCTTCTTCCATAATACATTTAAAAGGCAGAGCCGCAGTAGGGTTAGCTGCCGTGACTGGGAGCTAACTCCGCTGCAGCTCTCCTGCTTATCGACTAGTCGATTAGTTGATTAAACTATATTTAACATCCCTATCTTACAATTCTTTTCCATAGGAGCACAGCTGGTGAGAATGTTAAAGTTCCCACTGTTTTTCATGGTAGTGTACTGTATAGTATTTTATTATCTTGCTTTTATAATAAAGGATTCGCATGCAAAGTATTAGCTTTTTCTCCAGCATCCCTAATATGCTAATTCAAGTCCTGAGAAGATTAAGAGAACATTTTCAAGTTGTGATCACTTTGAAAACTCTATAGCTAACACTACTACATTAAAAAAGCTAAAACTGCTTATTCCAATTTCCAGTTTTTGATTTTTTTTTAATGGAAATTAATTAACAATCCAGCCCAGACACACACACAGTATGACTGCCTACCTTCACCATGGTGATTACAATTTAAAAAAAAAAACAAGAAAAATAACTCCTTTCCCAGGTTTTACATTCTGTGTTAAAAATTACTCTGGGCAGGAGAGCAAGCTTTATCTTGGAAGGTTGCTTGAATTTTTCCTGGTGCTCCAGACACCTCATCTTCTCTAAAAATAAAGATACATCCAGTTGACTTATTGCAGCATTCTGGAAGCTCATAAAGCAAGAAATATCTTTTTGTGTGTGTCCAATTAACATTTTTTATTTAAAATGGACATTTCTGAGCGGTTTGTCTGTGGTACTCTTGAAAACTTACAGAATTAGTTCCACAAGCATCATAGAGATCAATTTTCAACCTGTTTTACTGTTACTTTCATAATCTGTTCTGCTTCCATTTCCACTCCCCCCACCCCCAAAATATACCATACATACCATGGCCATTTTACATGATTTTCAAGGAATTAACAACCTACACCTTTCTTTCTAGTTAGCCAAGGCCTATAGTTTGACCATTGAACACAGATTAGAGTATGTGTACACTTAAAATGCTCCACTGTGCTACTGTAACGCTTACCCAACATTTCCTAAGATGTCTTTTTTTCTTACTTCAGGAGTCAAGAAGGGAAATAAGGGATGAGAATACAGTCTTGTTACAGGCATGACTGTGAGTTGGAGGGAGGAGCAAGAAAGGCTAATGTAGGGGTAAGGAAGGCTGATCAGTTCTCCTGTGAGAAACAGTTGCAGCCTTGACATCATAACTGATGTTTTGAGACACTTGTCATGGTTTAGGGACAAAAGTAAAAGTTGAACCAAGACTAGCTAAGATATTCTTTCTTCAGGTATTTAATTATTTTTATGTTGCTTGTGTCAGACATGAAATTGTCTAAAACAGAAACCTGGGTTTTTCTTTTTAAAAAAATGTTTTGGTTTCTTTATTCCAGATAGCACTGCTTTTCCTTCACCGAGTCCACATGCTTTCCAGATTAATTTTAACAGTTTGTACACAGCTTTGTGTGACCAGCAGAAATCTGATCAAGCAACTCTCCTTTTATACATATTACTGCATCAGAACAGCAATGTTCGGACATATATGTTGGCACGAACTGACATGGAAAATCTTGTGAGTATTGTACTGCATATTTAGTATTCAGCAGTTGGTGTTGATTTGTGTATGATTGTGTGATATTATTCTATAGAAACTTCTATAAAACAATGGATTGTGAATGGCTTGTCCATGATTCATCATGTCATGTTCATATTTTTATGCTCAGCATGTGACTGGAACAAGAGATAGCACTGATAAGAGTATAAATCTCTGGAGTGTTGGCAAAATTGGTTGGGGTGAAAAGGATTGGATAGAAAAAGAGTGGTGTGAATGGACCAAGATGGCAGGAGAGTTAGGACACATAGGTGTTTAGTGGCATGTGATGCACAGGAGGTCAAGTTGCTTAACAGGGTTCCAGAAATGCATTTGCAAGCTTGCATGTGAAAAAACTTGAGTTTGCACAGACAGATTCAGTATGAACATGCAGCTCTGGGTGGGCTCATATAATTGAACATGTTACACATTTACATGTTGAACATACTGTAATAAATTCACATGTATATAAATTTGACGTAATGGTCTTTAGTGACATAAAGGTCTTCCATTCTTCTTATATTTCCACATCAATAGTTGCTATTTTTAATGACTAATGTAAGGAGAAATCAAAAGGAAAATTCTGAATTTGTACAAATAAACTGTTCCAGACTTTTATTAGCTCAGAAATACAGATCTAAATGTTTTCGAACAGGGTGGGCAATAATTTTAGGAGAGGGTTCACTTCAGAAGTTTAAGTGGCCCTGGGCTGCCCTGGAATTGGTGGGGCCTCAGGCGGGAGGGTGGGACCAGGACACTTCATGCTCCCCCGTCCACAGACTCTGATTGGCCTGGGGTGGGGGAGCATATGAAGTCTTTGCTCCCCCCACCCCCCCAAGATAAATGTCAGGTATTCTGTATAGCTGGTAGTTCCCTCTAGGCACTTTTGCCCCCAACAGCTCCCACCCCCAGGTCAATCAAGGTCCTGAAGCACAGACACACCCAAATGAGATCTGCCTTGACAGTGGAGAAGTGCATGGCAATTGGTCTTGGAAGCTTGCAATACCCGACAGTTACTGGTCAGTTTGGAATCAATTCAGAGTGGGGAAATCTACAGTGGGGGCTGTTATTCAAGTAGTCAAGGCAATTGGTACCATTCTGTTATGGAGGGTAGTGATTCTGGGAAACATGGATTCCATAGTGGATGGCTTTGCTGTGATGAGGGTTCTCTAATTGCAGTGGGGCGATAAACATTACGTGCAGCCCCCATCTTTGACCCCAACCACCTTACCAAAGAGTACATAAACTGCAATGGGTACTTCTTCATGATGCAGCTAAAGCTGTTGGATCACAAGTGCCTTTTCACTGACATCAACGTAAAGTGGTCCAAAAAAGTGCATGATACGCATGTCTTTAGGAACTTCTGCCTCTTCAGAAAGATGTGTATTGGAACTATTTTCCCAGACCAGAAAATCAAAATTGGAGAGATGGAAATGCCAATAGTGGTCCTTTGCAACCCAGCCTACTCCTTGCTCCCGTGGCTCATGACGCCATACACAAGTAGCCTGGACTGCAGTAAGGAGCAGTTCTTCAAGTGATGTCTCTGGGGATGCTCCACATTAGGTACTGGGCTTGCCCTGGCGCTGCAGGATGGAGATGTTTAAAGCCGTAAATCAAAATTGGAGAGATGGAAATGCCAATAGTGGTCCTTTGCAACCCAGCCTACTCCTTGCTCCCGTGGCTCATGACGCCATACACAAGTAGCCTGGACTGCAGTAAGGAGCAGTTCTTCAAGTGATGTCTCTGGGGATGCTCCACATTAGGTACTGGGCTTGCCCTGGCGCTGCAGGATGGAGATGTTTAAAGCCGTAATCAGCTGGGAAATCGATCGCCATGTACTTCATTCTGTATTTTGCCACTGGGGATTTCCTCAAATAGACCTTTTTGCCACGGCCACCAACAGGAAGTGTCACCACTTCTGCTCCAGGGCAGGCCTAGGTCGCCACTCTTTAGGGGATGCCTTTCTTCTCAATTGGAACAGTCCCCTCATGTACGCTTTTCCCCCTATCCACTTATCTTCAAAGTCCTTCAGAAGATCAAGTCCAACAAAGCCTCGGTCATCCTCATAGCACCCGAATGGCCACGCCAGCATTGGTACCCAATTTTCATGCGCCTAGCGCAACATTCACCATATCAACTACCGTTAATCGAGAACCTCCTGACCCAGAAGCGAGGCTCCCTCCTCCATCCTCAGCTACATGCACTGCACCTGTCGGCCTGGTACCTAGTTGGCTGAATGCTTCTGAGGTCCTCTGCTCTGAGAGTGTTCAGAATGTTCTTATACATAGTAGGAAACAGAGTACTCCTTTCCAAATGGCGTCGTTTTACTTCCTGGTGTTCCGACCACAACCTCGATCCTCAAAGGGTCCTGATTCCTTTAATCTTGGACTATATGATGCATCTACAACAGAATGGGCTAGCTTTAGCGACTATAAGAGTCCATCTTGTGGCACTACGTTTAGACAACCAGTAGGGGGAATTTCGCTCTTCGCTCATCCCCTCACGAAGCGATTTCTTAAAGGTCTAACGAATCTAAACCCTCCTTTACGTTCCCCCATGCCGTTGTGGAATTTGGACTTGGTACTCTCTGCGTTGACAACATGCCCATTTGAACCTCTTGCTACCATTCCCTTGTGATGTCAGCCTTTTGTGTGCTCCACAGTCTTTGCAAGATCAAGGGGCACAGTTATCTGACAGGGTGGGGGCGGAGGCAGAGCACCTAGCAGGGATTTTGAGCAGCCAGATACAGGGACCTGAAGGAAAGCACAGAGCGGGGCAGTGCAAATCTGGGGCTTGGAAAGAAAGTGGTGCTTCTAAGCGCTGCATGCTCCTTGCAGGGCAGGGACAGGGTGGTGGAAACTTTGTGCACTCCCCCTTCCCCCAGGCCAATGAAGACTTGTGGGCAGGGGAGCACGCAAAGTCTCTTCCTGTCCTGCCAGAAGTGCTAATTGACCTGGGGGTAGGGGAGCAGCAGAGCCTCTGCAGGTCAGATCAACCCACCTGGCAGGCCGGATTGGGCCCACGGTGGAACTTTTGCCCACCCTGATATAGCAGATATAGAATTCTCAAAGGAGCATATGTACTCACATGGTTTGGAGGCAGGCATGATAAGGGGCCTTCTAGGGCACAGTCCTGTGGGTGCGGGGGAAGGGGACGAGGTCCGGTCATGCTGCCAGGTCAGGGCAGTGGCTCATTCAGCTTCCCTCCTCTGTCTGCCACATGCCACTTTCCGGGAGAGTTCTACTTTCCACCCTGCAGGAGCCTGTGGGTGGGAGGTGGGAAGGAGAGTGTGCGAGAGGCTGAAGCCATGGTAGCAGCAGAAGCATCAGCTAATAGCTTCCCCTCCTCCTTCATCCAGGTTGCTATGTGAGATATCAGTCTTCTCCAAATCGCACAGTTATAGGGAGCTGATGCTGATTGAATGTGGTCAGATACTGGACCTTACGTTTCAATGCTTTGAGCTGTAGTGATGTTGACTGGCATGGGAAAGTGCGCTAATGTGGAGGACAGAATAGACTGGCCTCCCCAGAAACCTTGTGAGAAGGAACAAAGAGTTTTTATTTAAGAGCTTCATGGAGATATGCAGGGAGGATTGCTGCTGCAGCTCCAGACACATTAACAAGCCATTCCACGCCCTCCACGCAGTGTAGGCACAGAGTACATCACACCCTAATAGCCTTAACCCACTTGAAGCAAGAAAAAAAATTGTGAACTCACTAGAAGTGCCCTCCTTGGATCAGTGCTCGACTGTCAGATGTCCTGGGGTGGAGGGGGAGGGGGGCAGGGATCATCTCCAAAGCAATGAAAAGTTTTTGGCTCTTGCCAATGGCTGGTCAATCTCCTCCTCCTCCTCCTCCCCCTACACCACCATGCTGTCCTGCATGCTACTGCCTGGAGCGTCTTGACCAGACTCTACCGTATGGCTTGGGATGCTTGTTAGGTGTCCCTCCCCCCCATAATTGCATGCAGCTGGTCGTAGAAGCGGCATGTTTGCAGTGATGCACCAGACTGTCCATTTGTCTCCTTTGTAGGACTGCCTCAGCTCCTTTATTTTAACTCCATGCTGCTCCTGGAATAGCCTTTCTCCACCATGCATTTTGCTATATTCGTGTAAATATTGGCATTTTGTTTGCTGTTTGAAGATCCAGGCGAATGGGCTTCTCTCCCCATGTGTCAGTGAGGTTCAAGATCTCATGCACACTTCATGCTGGTGCTCTTTTGTGCCCCTGGGAACGGGAACTCATGGAACTTGAACTGATGGAGGTGTATTTTCAATGATGGCCACATGAGAAATGAAAGTAAAACTTTCCCAGGGCTTTTCTTGTTCACCTAGGGTATGTCTGCACTACAAAGTTAATTTGAACTAATGGATGTTAGGCGCTACACTAGCGCTCCGTTAGTTCGAATGTAATTCGAACTAGCAGAGCGCTTATTTCGAACTAGGTAAACCTCGTTGTACGAGGACTAAGCCTAGTTCGAACTTACTAGTTCGAATTAAGGAGTGTGTAGCCCCTTAATTCGAACTAGTGGGAGGCTAGCCCTCCCCAGCTTTCCCTGGTGGCCACTCTGGGCACCACCAGGGAAACTCTATTGCCCCCCTCCCGGCCCCGGACCCCTTAAAGGGGCACGGGCTGGCTACAGTGCCCGTGCCAGGTGCAAGC